ATCTGATTACAGACAGTTACAATGAAGACAAATGTTCACAATCTATCATAATTAATATGTCATAATTAATATAGATTCGGTCATGGATAGTCATAGTTAACATATAACCTCCACCACCAACCCTTCACACCTCCATTTACACCCCCAACACCTGCAAGCGTTGTAGGTGATCAAAATGAATTTGAGTTGATCTGTGTGGTGGTGGTGGTGGTGGTATTTCGGGTATTGGGTTGTGGTAATAGTGATGCGTTATTTGTGAACAAACATGTTTTATATGTGTATGGCCAAATTTCTCTTAAGTGTGACTGTTTGTGACTAGATCAGTTTAAATTGTGACTGTATGTTACTCACTATTAATTTGACCCATAGAGTAACAATTAACACTTAATTGGTCATAATCGATCAAATTAACACATACTTGATTACATGGGGTCACCACAAATAAATGCGCACAAATTGCAGACCAACACTACAATCCTCCACCATTACCTCTAATACACCACCACTATCACCTTCAATTCAAATCCACAACCATAAATTCGAGTTTCACCTCAAATTCACAACAATAATCACCACTGCCATCACACCCTCCACCTTTACCTTAAATCCATCACACCACCTACCTCCGATTCAAATCTAAGTGAATTAGTAGGAAACTATAGGCCCAGCCAGAAATAAAAAATGAAACACTAGTAATCAATTAAAAAAAAAAAAAAATTCAATATTATAGGACAAAATACGTACTATGAAGATACCACAGATCGAATTTATACAAATCCATCTCTCCGATGAATTGTAAAGAAAAACGGTGGTCGACAATTTTCCCGCACAAGCATTGCACTATGAACTCTACATCAGTCCAGTAAAATTGAAAACCTGGTGGTAAACTCAGTTGTAACAGAGGATTCATTTCTTGAATATCCATTTCTTTTAAATTAGAGAGATATAGAGAGAGAATGTGAGAGTAGTTTATAGAGAGAGAAAAAAAATGAGAGAGAGAGAGAGATGTATATATTTGTGTTTGTATATGTATACGTAGGGAAAGAGTATTTGTTGGTGAATTGATGTGGGAAGATTTAATTTTAAGTGGTGGGGTGGCCAATAGTGATTGATTTGGAAAGATTTCAATTTAAGTGATAGAATATAGTGGGGTGGGGTGGGGTGGGGTGGGGTGGGGTTTAATTATTTATTAATTAATTTAATTAATCTTCATTGTCACTTGATTTGTGAAATTAAAACTATTCGCGTTATTTTTTTTTAATAATATACTTTATAGGCAGGGTTTTGGGTAATTTTCCCGTATTTTAATCCATGTTTGCCTCAATCCCATAGAAGCTAAGCACCTTGCCATCGCAGCTGACTTTGATGCTAATCACGACTCCACAAATTTATGCACATTTCTTGAAGCAAATCTAGGTTAAATAAATGGGGATTTCATACCATTATATTATTAGAGGGGACTTCTAAACTATTATACATAAATTTTTTAGAGCAAAATTACAAGATATTCGCATTGAAGAGATTCAAGATTAAGGGTTATGCCTATCTTTTCTTCCAAATTATTCGAGTTACGAATTTCATATATTTTTGTGATCAAAACATGACAGGCTTTAAACCCTTTGTGACTAGGATTAACGATAAAACCTTGTTAGCTCTTTGATTAATTAATTGCTCCTTTTTGTTTAACACTTGTTTCGAGATTATTGTTTATTATTTTATTTTGATAATTGATCACTATTAGAATGTGTTTGTGGTTTATATTGCTTTTGAGAGGTTTTGTTTAAATAAATTAGCACATGATAATAAACAACATAATATATAAACAACTGCATGATTCTTGATCCGAAGGAGCTGTCGGCAATCTATGTTGAAAAAATGTATTATTCTATCGACTATAGAAGCTGAATATATTGTACTAACAAAAGTGCATGAAATCGTCGTGGATGGGAAATTTTTTGAAGAATTGGGTCTACAATAAGAAAAATATGTTCTTTATTGTGACAGTCAGAGCGCAATTCATATCTCCAAGAATTCAATTCATTTTAGATCCAAATACATCAATGTTAGATATCTTTGGATCCGTGACGTCCTTGAAGTAAAGCAGTAGGATTTAAGAGAAATCGACGAAAACTTTATCAAAGAAGAAACTTCAAAGTTGAAACATGTAGGCAGGAAGTGGGCTTGTGTTGAGCCCACAACATGAGGCGATGGAGAGTTTTGTTGGGTATCTGTCCCATGTATTTGGGTGGATTAAGGGTCCAAGCCCAACAAATTGGTCCAATTAAAAAGGCCCATGTCAAATCTTCCAACACATTTTTCACATTTGTTTTTCTTAGAAATCTTTGGAACGTACGATTGTGATGACAAAATCTAGCCCGTTGCAGTAGCAAAATCTACTTGATCAAGATGGTTTTCTCTCTTTTTTAAAAATAATAATAATAAAAAAAAATCTGTCCTCCTACACTACACTTACTAGTTTCTATCTCTCGATACTAGGTTCTTTTTTTTTTTTTTAAATACATCAATCTTCCCTCTCTTCTATATGCAATTATACATAGAGATTTTACATGCTGAGCCCATAATGTCTCCCATTTCTATATAATCTTTAGAGAAATTGCTGAAAAAAGGAGGAAAAATGTGAAAACTGATTAAAGAGCATATCCAAATCCAATGCATAGACATTGCTAGGTGACATGTAAATAGAATAATTTTATTATTTACGTGTTATGGAAAATAACATATCAAAAAATTCTAAACAATTGTCAAGCTCGCCAAAGTCGACCGAGCATCATGCCAGAAAGTTTTTAAAACGTGTCAATACATACAACTTGACATGTCACATGTCCAGTTTTAATCAAAAGCTGAATCGTCAATACATACCGTGTCTCATTCTAAAAGAAATAAACGTGCAAAAAAATTTCTCAAAACACATTTCGCGTATAGACAAAATAGCATTAATAGTTCCTTTCGTGGTTATATGGACAAAATACAAATTGGTCTTTTATTCCTTCTCTAAATACACAAGTTTGGCCAAATATCTTCATATTCATAGCATATTCCCATTTTGAATACTACGAAACTTCGATTGTTTTACCATAAAAACTCTTTCAAATTATGGTTGGCAATGTGTCATTTGAATATTCTCTTTGGAGAAATAGGCAACTTGGAAATATTTTATTCTGAAAAATAATTTTGAGTAGTATGACCATTTTAACTTAAAAAACGTAACACGTCGGGATAATACACTACAACAAAATGTACTTTTTACGGCGTGCAATGCATGCCGTAAAACCGTAAAAACCTCTTTACGGCGTGCGACCGCACGCCATATAAAGCCATGCCGTAAAAAGTGGTGTACCTTTTATGGCGTGCATAGGACGCCGTAAGGGAACGCCGTAAAAGTGTTATTTTTTACGGCGTGCAAAGGCACGTTCGATATTTTATTGCGTGCACATTTGCACGTCGTAAATATTGAAGACCATTTTTTACAGCATGCACAAAATGTACGCCGTAAAAAGTGACTTTTTACGGCGTGTGGAAAATGCACGCCGTAAATACTTTATGCAATTGATCATTTACGGCACACATTTTTTGCACGCCGTAAAAAGTCGCTTTTTACGGCATGCATCAATTGAATGCCGTAAACATATGCCGTAAAAAGCTCTTTTTGTTGTAGTGATAACTCGAAAATGATAATTTCTTCTGGCATTTGTGATACAATTTTATGATATTTGCATTTTCACTCTGTTCAAAACACATTTGTAATTGGAATTGAAACCTTGAGAATTTGTATGTGCAATTGTTAGACATATAATTAAATTTTTAATATTTTTTCTTTAATAAAAATTTATTTCTTCATAAAAGATTGCAACGAGTATTTAACATCAATGTGGCAATGACATTGTTGAGAAATTTAATCTTCTAGACAATGCCTCCATTTGGAATTAGTAACTTTTAAAAAACAACGTATTTTAACTAGTCAAAGTCAAACTTTAATTTCAACAGTATATCAATAATCACTACTCATTATTATTCACATATTCCTTGACCTCACCACTATTTATCCTAAAAAGTTCTTAAAAAATTATTAATAATCAAATTAGAACAGAGGCCGTTAAGAATTAGAAATTCTAATTTCTATATCATCAAAAACAATAAAATCGAGGTAAGAAAATAAAGATACAGTAGAACATGCAATATTTATATAGGTTTGTCTCAATGTGAGACTATATTCTCATCCTCGCTGTAGTAATTCACTATAATGAAAAACATATTTATAAGAAAAAAATTGTACACCATATTTTCTCTAACATCTCTCTTTTTTAATGAAGAAAAAGTAAAACCAAATGACTCTTTCCTATTAATAAAAAAAATAAAAATTATAAGTATAAAATTCCTAAATTATCTTTAATGAAAATTTGGTACGGTCCACCGCGGGACCTATACCTTTCTTTCAATCCTCGCGACGATCTTAACATGACGATCAATTCGCGTACGAAAGCATAACGACAATAAGTATAAAATTCTTAAATTATCTTTAATGAAAATTTGATCCACCCTCGGGACCTATACCTCTCTTTCAATCCTCACGACGATCTTACCACGAAGATCAATTCGCATACGAAAGCATAACAACAATAATTTCTCCATACCATAACGGGAACAATATGATAACATCCATTAAATCACTTCAACCCCACCTTAGACAATATGTGACAAATAAATAAATAATCAATTATTGATCCAACTCCTAAAAGAGAAATGCCATATATGCATTTAAAAAAAAAAAAACAATTACATTATGACAAAATCCAAAAGCCAATTACTTTAATATATCACCATAATCACACATCAAGTACAGATTAAAGGATTTACAAGGAGAATTATACATTATTATTTTTCTCATTATTACATAATCATATTAATTACAAGCTTAGCTATCAGATCCACATTCTAACAATTTTCTAATGTTTATACAAATTAATTAATAACTACATCACTCACGGAGTACGCCGGTCGTCGGTGAAATCGGAGGCGAGCCTGGATGCAATGGCGGAGTGATACATATCATGGAACGAAGGCGTATCACTTGTCATCCTCCGGAGCTGCTTCGCCTTTTCATCCGTGAAGGAGCCCGGAGTGAACCGAGACCTCACCTGTATCGGATTCGGGTTTCTCTTCTTATCGTCGGACTGTATATAGTCCGGGTCCGACGACAACCCGAATAGCGGTGTCCACCAGTGAGACGATGAAGTTTTCTTAGCTTCAGGTTTCTGGTCTTCGGCGCTGATGCTAGCTCTAACAACTGCCACCGGCCGGAATGGTAACATGCCGGACGCCATTTCAGAGGTAAACAAATAAACTTTTTTAATCTGTGTACTTTACAGTTTTTGAAGAATTGAATTGATTTGATTTTGATGCTTTTATTGAGGTTTTACGTTCGGGTTAGGGAGTTTAGTGATTTCAGGGAATGGAGGTTATAAAAGGGTGCGGGAAAGACGCTAACTTGTAATAAAAGTCAATAGACATGGTTAGTCATTCAACTATTAGAGTTGTTTCATTTTAGTCCTAAATTGTTTCCTTGTTAATAACTGAATTTGTTCGACCCTCAAAATTTGTTCGATCAAGTTGTCAACAGATCCTTTCTAACACTTCCATCTATGCACACTTTAAAATAAGTTTGCACACAAAGGACTCCGTATCCCACAAAAAAAAATTTTTTACTTGGAAAAAAAAAAATTTTATGTTAAAAAAAAATTTCATGTGTAATTTTTTTTTTTTTACGTATTAGCCCCCCCAGTCGTCCAATCCTGGATCCGTCCCTGTGCGCTCCGAAAGTCAAGTTAGTTGTCGAAAATGTATAATTTGAATATTGCATGCATCTTCGCATGAAGTATTTATCCAAAAACAATTCCTTCATCAAGAATCAGGGTAGAGCAGATGGGGACCGTCAATGATGCGGCTCATTTCTTTAATTTATTTATCCAAAGCAAAGAGAAATTGTATATTTGACATCGCATGCCTTTTGGACACGTTGACTGTTTATTGATTCAGTCATTGTCGCATCATGTTTCCTTTTATAAAGGCTTTTGCTCAAGGCAGTGTCCAACTTGCCACGTGGTGTTAGAATTTGCGAATGTCCCTTGGTTGATCCAAATAAGATATATTATGAGGCAGAAAATATAGTCACAAGATTCTTGCAAGATCACACAGTCCCCTAATTTACCGACATAC